CCTCCCTGCATCCCTCCTTCCCTCCGCGCGTCTCCTTGGCATGCCTGGGTTGCACGGTGCGGTGCCCGGCGCCGCGGCCCGGCCCGAGCGCCCGGCTGGGGTTTCATCCATCGCTCTTGCAGGCATTGACATCGCAAAGAGACGGGGAGCCCGGTACCGGCTCGGTCCAGAGCTCGAAATCTGGTAAGAGCGCTTTGTCGGTGCTGGGTTCGAGCGTTCCCAGTTAATTGCTGAAGACTGGTCAGTGAGGAAATCGGCGGCGTAGCACTCTGTCGCCCAGAGCCTCGCTCGAAGCGCGGCGGCTGTCAGCGCAAAGAAGAGCATGGCAGTTGCAAGCCCAAGATTGGTTCTCTCGTCTCGGAAATGTGACCGGTGCTGATAATTTTTGACCTATTTCAGCCAGGCTTCCTTCGTGGAATCCGTAGGGCTTTGAATTCTGCCTGGGCCCGGGGTGCTGCTCCTGAAAGGCAATGCCCCCCGCAATGCCACCGTCTTGAGCGGGGATGATGGTGCCAGCGCCCCGCACACGCCCTGTGAATTGCCTGCGCGGACAAGGCGTTCCTTATCTGCGGTAGTTCTGGTCCCTTGGCTCTGGTGCTGATTTGGCTGAATTTTTTATTTCTTCGGTTTTTATATGCAGTGGTTATGGCTGCTCGGATCACTATTACGAATCCGACACGCTCTTGCATTCGTTTCAAGTTCTGGCAAAGCTTTTGGAGTCGCCGGCTACTCAAGATATTATCTGTGATGTGGGAATGTAAGTTTTTTTGTGTACATTTGACAAAGGGGTAGGTCTTTAGGGAATGCTGCCCCTGCTGTGTTTCTGGGTAGTGAGGGCCCTGTGCCAAACTTTTAACCACATCTTAGGAACTGCACTACTTTCCCTTTTAATTACCAGGACTAGGACTGCAACAAGCAAAATGCTCTCTGAAAGATAATAATTTCAAAGATTTCTCGTGGTTGAGCCCTTCAAGAGAGAAATAGGATAATTACAGTTGTTTATTGGGAATGGGCCAATATGGCTGGGCCCTCTTGCCATGGTTAGCTTTTGGGTAAGACTTTGTATTAGGAATAACGCAAAGGGCTTTATAAATTGACTCTCCCGGGAATGCCAGGGCTAATGTAACTTGCTTTGACTGGCAGACATCCTTCTAAGCAGCATATGGGTATGTCAAAATCACTGAAACCATTGTAGGTCACGGGCTGACAGCGATAAATTGTAACCGTGAGATTACCGTATGTACGCCTACTTGCTTTAGAATTGATACAAAAGTGTAAAGCTAGCTTTATTTTGAACTAGCCTGGTAATCCCACAGGGGGTCAGGTTTGATTAAATAAGTTAGCCCAGCCAGGGGGATTCTTCTGGTTGCGTGTGTTTCTCAGGCAGCAGACGGTATATCTGAGACTGACAGAATGGTCAGTAACTCTGATTTTTGCAAACAGCTATTTGAGTTGAAAAATTAGAAGCTAAAACTAGATATATTTTGTTGTTTAAGTCCCTTCAGTGGTGCAGTGTAGAAGTGTTGTCTTTGTTTTTGTGTAGTGACACAGATTCTGTATATTTTTTTTTATTTCCGCTAATGAGTTTAGCCACTGGTAGCTCTGCTTCTTATTTTCACAGGCCTGTTCTGCACAGAAATGTTCGTTACAATTGTCGAGTGATCTTTTTAAATAAGTAAGTAGTTCTTTATGCATTTTGTGAGACAATACATTAGTGTATCCTTTCAGAGACCTGCCTGGCCTTCAAGAAAGAGTCTTCAGTGCTATGTAGAGCGATGGAGTTGTCTTCCTATCTGCTAAACTTTAGAGAGACAGCTACTGTTTTCCATTACCCCTTTTTCCTGTCTGAATTTGTGGAAACTAAATTTCTCCTGCTTTCTGAAAGACTCCAGAAAAAAAACCCTGGGTCTGCAAACAGAAACTTTATAAATTATTGTATGTAGTAGTTGTTTAGTGTACCTCAGAATAGAAGAAAAGAGTTGGTGTTAATCAGTGTTCTCATTTAGTCTTGTTTGCCTGCATATCAGGTTTTAAGTCGCTCTTTCTGTTTTGTTTTATGTCTTAAGGAAAATTCTGCTGATCAGACCGAAAATAGCATTGGCAAATGCAGGAAACTACAGGGAGCTTAGATGGTTTACCCCGTGGAACAAAGCAAGGTAGGCTGGCTACTGTTAAAATTGTGTTTAAAAACACAGCTTACCTTTTGCAGCCACAGCTGAAGGATTGAAAGCTCTCTAGCCATCCATCTGTGCTGCTACAGGGTGAGCAGCAAGACAGAGGCAGCTAAGCTATGTAACTGGAGCTCAGTTAGAAAGCTTATTAAGTACAATCAAACTCTGTATTGCTGAGCTGGAGGGAAAAGCATGGCTGGATGATCCTGCGATCAGTGTGGTAGTGTCATTTGCCTTGTGTCTCCTTTCTAACTATATGCAGTTCAGGATTGGAAAAGCCTGTGTTTTTTTTGCTCATTTGCTGCATCCTGTTCAATATTAAACTGGAAAACAAAGTAAAATGCATAACCTCTGCCAGAATTTTAATGACTGCAGAGGATGAAAGCTACGTACCTTATGATGCTGCAAAATACGCTTGATGCTCGTCTCTGATGCCGTGCACTTGTCCTGTGGTCAGAGGATGGTTCTGACTTGATGGTCTCGGTAAAGTACTTCTGAGAGAGCCCTTGAGCATCTGTCCTCTTAGCCCCAGTCAGTTCCAGATGAGTTACGAGTTACTCGTGTAGTAACACTGCAAAAAGAAAAACTTTTATTTGGTGTTTGACTTGCACAGTGTGTCCTTTGTTAGGTCTAGTTTCTAGCTAGGATGGAGCACTGTTTACCATGCATTTCTGAAGTGAAGTGGAATGTTGCCACCTTATAATCTTAACATTTCTGATGAATTTCACAGAAAATATGAAGGTCCTTTTTTTTTTTTTTTTTAAAAACATACACAGCCCTGTACAACTGAAGTGCAATTTCTTTAATCAGTGTTAGAAGGTGACAAAATGTGGAGATCAGAATCAGGTTTTGTGCTGTGATTTACGTAATGATGTATTCACAACCTATAAATCTGCTCTAGGCATGTGGAGGAGTATTTTCTACCCAGGATAATTCAGGAAGTGACTGGACAGGTAAGTTTGTGAAAGATTTTTTTTCTTTTCTTTTTACCTTCAGCATCTTCCAGACTCAGCAATTTAAATGAATAGAATTTGTGGCATAAAACTGTAGTACACCAAGTTCTGCTGTCAGTCATGTTGCAATTTCATAGGTTTCGGTGATAGTTCTCAGTTACATTAAATAAGAGCATAATTTAACCTTGTTTATGTTAGCATTTGGCAGCAAAACGAGGACATTTTAAATTTGCCTCCGTTATTTATATATACAGGACCTTAAAGATTGTTGTATTTTGCACAGTTCTGGTACTGAGTTTATCTGTGCTTGAGACTAGAAATGAGTATGTGTTTTGAGATAAAAAAATAAAAAGAAACCTTCTTAATTAAGAAGGGTCTAAAACTTAGGTTATTTCCCGCTAAAGCATGAGCATAATTCTTAGCAAAAGACAGTCTCTGGTTTTTAGATTGTTTAATGCAAAAGCAGTTGTCCTGTCCTGAAGCAAAGCACTAGATCTGAACACTACTCAAATTTCAACACAAAATTTTGGTACAATCCAGAAATTTGTGCTTTAGACTTTTTTTTTTTTTTTTTTTTTTTTTTTACTTGATATAAAATGAAGGAAGATGTAATGTGATTGATACTGTGTCACTCATTTCACAATTTCATATTTTTCTTAGGTTTGTAGTTAACTTTTTTGAATGGAATAGGTTCTTCTATTACATGTGTGTAAGGATGTTCTTGTTTCTTCTCAGGAAACCGTTCCTTTTGGGGACGCAGTGCTAGCAACGAAAGATACCTGCCTAGGGGCAGAAATATGTGAAGAACTCTGGGCACCAAACAGGTAAAGGAGAAGAAGAAATGAAAAGGAAACTAAATCATACCCTGGACCTGCTTGATATAAATGTTTGAAAAAATCTGCTTATTATTCTTCCAGGTAGTATATCTTTCAGAAAGTTCCAGTAAGCCAAAATATAATTAGGAGCAATAAATACATCATGGGAAGGATTTCACTAGGCTACATGCAGGATGGCAAAAGAAGTTTTAGGTACTTAAGCCATCCCTAACCTTAATAACATTCATTTGGCATGTCTTTGTATGTAGCTTCCTGCAGCTATTTTTAAGGGGGGAAAAAGTATTTTCTCTTTTGGTTGCATGAAAGCTGTTGCAGTTAAAATAAAGAAAACATTCCCGGTGTTTTTCCAAATCTCTCAGTTACAGGTATTCATTTCCTTATAACTGCAGAAGGTGTGGTACGTTACAGGCAAATACATGATTTTTTAGCATTTATTTCTTTTGACATTGGAAAAAGAAAAAAAGCAGTAAAAGTTGTCTTCTTGCGGTTCTGTTTCCTTGTGCTTTTGGATTTACTAAGAGAGAAGGAAAATGGGACAATAAACATTGCAAGAGTATCTCAGTGTTACCCTTTCAGACCAAGATTGTCTTATTCTCTCTTTCTTTGAGACCCAGACATCTCTGGAGTGAAGTAGAAGGCATTTTATTTAGAACAGGTAGAGCAAAAGCCCTTCTGCCCTCTGCAGCCACTACTGGACTTTGACAGAAGGCTGAGGCAATGCAAGAAAAACAGATGGTTTTGAGAATCCTATCCTTGTTTGAGCTAAGACATGCAGAAAATGGGCAATGACATAAATGTTTTTATTTGTCAGTGGATTTAAATGATACCTGCAGTATTGCCAGCATAGTATTGCCAACTGATTTTTTTTTTTTCTCTGCCTTTTGCTTTGACAGCCCTCATATTGAAATGGGACTTGATGGTGTGGAGATTTTCACTAACTCTTCAGGGAGCCACCATGTGCTGCGGAAGGCTCACACTCGTGTGGATTTGGTGAATTCTGCCACAGCAAAGGTATATGCTTAAAAAAAAGTGGTTTTTTCTGGTTATGCGCCTCATTTTTTTTCAGAACAGTCTCCCCTCCTGTGACAGGACATAGCATTTTCTTTCTATATAAGTGTGGGGACCTTGACAGTCCTTGTCGTTTGGTTTTTTACCTGTAATTACCTTCCCTTATTGAATCAGCTGTAGGGGAATCTGGCTAAGGGACCATACTTCTTTGGGGCACTCTGCTATATATCATGCTCTAATGTGAAGCATTGTAACTTGTTCCCAGCTCTGTGACCCCAAATGCTAGAGGCTGTGTGTTTGCAGGTCAGCTCTGTCTGGTCTATGGAGCAGTGGATTAGAGGAGAGGCCATTTGGCATTTGCATGGGAATAGGGGAGATGCAAACCTACCCATGTGTGTGCAGGGAGAACTCCCAGAAGAAACTTTGCATGGGAACACATAGTTCTGCACTGACATGCCAACTATATAATCTAGCTTCCACGCGTGTCTGTCAAAAAGAATCAGAATACCTTAAAACAGCTTGATAACTCTTAGCTCTGGAGGCTTATGCTCCAAAAATGTATTTGGTGCCCTCAATCTTAATTGCATTAAACACTGAAGAAAAAAAATACTGCACTTGTGTAATGGATAGGAAATAAATCAGCCTGAGTAACTGGCTTTCAGTAATTGGAAGTATGAAACGTTGAATCCACTGAATAATACTCCAGAGAATAACCAGCCTGAAAGGGTGTTGCTGAATGCACATTCTGCATAAAGGGCGAACAACCAGTGGCTGTGGTTGCTCCCTGTAGATATCTGTGCCTGAACAGTCTCCCTCCATATGTGTTATGTACTGAATTGGCAGCTCATTGCCAGCTTGTAATTCGGTCCACAGAAGGGGTTATTTTCCTGGTGTGTATAAAACCTTCCAAAAGTTTCTTTTGTTTCCTTAAAATGATACAGCAACGTTCAGTTGGAAAAATATCGGTAATGATATCAGGAGGGGGAAATAGAAATCAGTGTTTAAACTCAGTCTTTATATTTTCCCCTGTTATCTTCTTACTTAAAACATATTTTTCTACTTTGAAAGCTCTGCTTATTTTAAAGAAGAGAAGACACTAGGTTATTAGACTGTAATCCTGTCTAACAGTGATGGGGACAAAGTAATGGATGTACATGATACTGTGAAAATTTTTTAATTTGTCCGACTGCTTTGTAATTTAACATGCTTTGGCTATATTTAACAGTATCTGCTCTGTCCTCAGATATCCAAACACAGCTTCTGTCATCATCTTCCTGCTTTTCTCAATCTCTAGTTGAACTTAGAATTTTAGAATTTTGATTTAGAAGTGCAGCCTTCTATTTGAGCTAAGGGAATGACTCTTGCTAATAACAGAAGACTCTGTGAAAGGGATAGAGCTCATTTACTACATTTGCTTGTTTCTGCTGTGTACATCACATGCAAATTACTTTTTCAAATGACAAGAGAGAGTCCCAGCCGTAAATTATTTACAATGTAAAGACAGAGGAGGGTTATAAGAAGGACAGGATCAGAGAAATAACATTTTGTCTTTTAACGTTCTGTCAGGTGCTGTATTCTGAAAAGTTTTTTTTTTGTCTGCTTGTTTGTTTTCCTCCCAGAATGGTGGAATATATCTTTTAGCTAACCAGAAAGGCTGTGATGGTGATCGTCTATATTATGATGGCTGTGCCATGATTTCAATGAATGGAGAAACGATTGCACAAGGATCCCAGTTTTCACTCGATGATGTGGTAACATATTCAACCTATAGTTGCTAGTTACAGCTGAAATTAGTACGGCTTCATTTATGCTCAACATGTTGCAGACATTCCAGATGCTAGGCCCATGTCTCTAGACTAAAAAGATATATTTTTACTATGCTATTCAACCAGATCCAAGGTTTTTCCTAGTCAAATTGCCCAGACCTGATCTACAGCTGTAAGCTCTCCAGCTTTTGTGAGCAAGGAAGAGCTGTCACAGTGGAGGAACTTCATGAAAATGTTTGCGTATGCAACCACCACGTTTAGGAGAGACCTTGTTACTTTATATTGCCTTCTCTAAGAAAAAAATGACAAAGATTGCAGTGTTCTAATTATGACCCGCTTTGGTAGACAAAAGGTTTGATAGGTTGAGCTTTACTTCAAAAAGCCCTTTCTTAGTAGTTTTGTCATCAAAGCTGTAGTTTTCCTCACGTTATGTGCCAAATTCATCTCTTTTCCCAGTGTGCTTCTTGCCTTTTCCTCTTGTCCTTTGCCACAGCTGATGGTGACCCTATTGTTCAGCCATCTGACGAGTGCTAAAAATTTGTTGTGGTTTATGAGTGTCCTAGTGTACTCAGTGAAGCGAGTCAGTTGTGCTCACTTTGTAATGTGAGTAATTCTACTGAGTCAGAAATGACTTGTGAAGTGAGCATAAAAATCGGTAGTGAAAAAAGCTGCATGTATTCTTCTTCCCCAACAGTTTTTCTAGTCCAGGCCTGCCAAATATTTTTTATCTGTTCACATAGAATCAATCTAATGTTGAAAGCCTTTCCGTAGGAGGTGCTGGTTGCCACTCTGGACTTGGAAGATGTTCGAAGTTACAGAGCAGAGATTTCATCTCGTAACTTAGCGGTAAGAATTTTTTACAGAGGTTATGTTTGTAAACTCTGCCAAATTTGAGTAGTTATTGAATTTAAAAAGCATTTGCATGTCTTGATTTTCACAGTGTTCTATAGATGTGATAGGTATGTGCTACATTAAAATTGACACCTTCACAATTTTTCTGTCCTATTGCTTAGGCAAGTAAAGCGAATCCTTATCCCAGGATAAAAGTGAGCTTTGCTCTGTCATGTTCTGATGATGTAGCTGTACCTACATGTATGCCAATCCAGTGGAGACATCATAGTCCCGAGGAGGAGATCAGGTAAGCACATACTGAATCTGTTGCTTGAAAGTTATTTTGATTTAAGAAAAAAAAAACCAACCCAAAACCTCAAACAAACCAAAACCAGACATAAACATGAGATCTTCTTTATATTAAGTAAAGAAAGTGTCTCATTGGAAGATCACAGTAAATATGTTGACTTGCTTAGGTCTTTTCCATAACCCTTTTGGAATAAGCATATTCTGTAATTTCAGCCTTGGTCCTGCATGTTGGCTTTGGGACTATTTAAGGCGCAGCAAACAGGTAAGAATAACTGGTTTTGTTCTTTGCCTTGGCATACACATCTTCTTCTGTGCCATAGGGACAGTACAGATTGCTGTCCTGTGCTGCTGTTAATGCGAAGTGATGTTAATCCAAGGTGCAAGGTTTGAGTTTTTCACTGGTAGCTCGTTCAGACTTAAAAGCCATATGCAAAGTGTGATTTCAGTAGGCTCTTCAGACCTTTTCCTTCAGAATCATGCTTTCTTTGAAAGCAATAATCAAGCTTACCTAATAAAGAGTATTTCTTTTTCTTTGAAACACTGTTTTTTCAGTAAGGAAAATATTTTAATGACATAATGGAGATGTTTAAAGTAAGCAGAGTGACATGAACTAGTAATTCAGTTTAATAGTGAAATATATATGAAAAATTTAATCCTTTTTATTAGCTCTTCTGTCTTACTGCAGGGTAAAGACATACTGTGAGTTTTTCTAGCCAAAGGGTTTCCACTGACTGACTGATTATCCAGTTGATGAGAGGGTTTGCTAGATCTGGTTTGTTTGCCTGTTTTTCCCCTGTAGAATATAAGCAGACTTGAACAATGCACATGCAATTATTTTCTAAGAGTATGTTTCTGAGTGGTACAAATATATTTTTCTAATTTTGCTATTTGGAACATCTTCCTTGCTCTATTTTCAAGGCAGGATTTCTCCTACCTCTTAGCGGTGGAATTGACAGCTCTGCTACAGCTTGCATAGTATACTCTATGTGTCACCAGGTTTGCCTGGCAGTCAAGAACGGAAGTGAGTAGATATGCGCGTCTGGCTCGCCATGTTTACTAATGGTTATGGACAAGCTAATATTAGCTGGGTGCAAGAGATGCAAGAGGTCATTAATGGCAGACTCTTGCCCAATTGTTCTAATGGAATCCTTTGTCTCTCTTCAGAAATGACAGCAAAAATGTGCATCCAGATTTCAGGTTCTTTGAATTGGCTTAATAGGGTTTTTTTGGGGTTTAAGAATTGGATGTGGAACTCAGACGAGATTCTCTCTAGAGTATCGTTCAAAATGTTGGCTGATGTAGTTTTGGGATTTCAGTTTATCATGAGAATTTTCTCCTATTAAATTCAGCACTACAAAATAAGGGTAGGCATGGTTCAAACTCCTAAACTGGCTTTAAGTAGACCATATGCATTTAGCTAAGCCTTTATATATACTGGATTATATTTTCTCTGAAGTTTCTTTAAGGTGCAGAACAAAAGGATTTAATATTTCCGTGTTCAAAATTAGGAGCAAAATCAGTAAATTTTTATTTGATGTATGAAAATATGTTTGCGGAGTTAGATGATGGAGTCATCTTATTTGTGAGGGACAGTGTAAAGCTTGATTGGAATACAAGAAACATGCAAGATACTTGCATATCTGGGACAGTGGGAGCACAACAATTTCAACTCTTGTTCTATTTCTCTTGCTTTGTCCTCAGATGCAGATGTGCTGGCTGATGTGCGCAAGATTGTGAATGATGAGACCTATGTCCCTGAGGATCCACGAGAATTTTGCAGGCGTGTCTTTACCACTTGCTATATGGCTAGTGAGAACTCCTCCCAGGATACTTGCAACAGGGCTAAACTTCTGGCTGAGCAAATAGGCAGGTACAAATTAGAGAAGTGCTGGGAAGAAAAACCGTGTTCTGGCAAAGACTTTCATCTAAAGCTTTCAAGCTCTAAAATAGGAAAAATAAGAAAGGAATAGCAGGTGTGTTAAGTAGGAGTATTACAGACATTATCATTTAAGTGTGTAAATGTGAGGCAAACTTAGCAGTATATGGTGAAGGACATGGAGATTTGGAAACAGACTCTGGAAAGTGTTATTCTTCATCCCAGATCTGAGATGGTAGCGGCCTTAAAACATCAATGAACTGGATGAGGGGACAGAGTGTACCCTCAGCAAGTTCGCTGATGACACAAAACTGGGAGGAGTGGCTGATACGCCCGAAGGCTGCACTGCCATTCTGCAGGACCTGGACAGGCTGGAGAGTTGGGCAGAGAGGAACATGATGAAGTTCAACAAGGGCAAGTGTCAAGTGCTGCACCTGAGGAGGTTTAACCCCATGCACCAGTACAGGCTGGGAGCTGACCTGCTGGAAAGCAGCTCTGCCGAGAGGGACCTGGGAGTCCTGGTGGACGACAAGCTGACCATGAGCCAGCAGTGTGCCCTTGTTGCCAAGAAGGCCAATGGTATCCTGGGGTGCATTAAGAGGAGTGTGGCCAGCAGGTCGAGGGAGGTTCTCCTCCCCCTCTACTCTGCCCTGGTGAGACCCCACCTGGAGTACTGTGTCCAGTTCTGGGCTCCCCAGTTCAAGAAAGATGAGGAACACCTAGAGAGAGTCCAGAGCAGGGCAACAAAGATGATGAGGGGACTGGAGCATCTCCCCTATGAGGAAAGGCTGAGAGAGCTGGGCTTGTTCAGCCTGAAGAAGGGCAGACTAAGGGGGGATCTCATCAACACAAACATCTTAAGGGTGGATGTCATGAGGACAGAGCCAGACTCTTCTCAGAGGTGCCCAGCGACAGGGCAAGGGGCAATGGGCACAAACTGAGACATAAGAGGTTTCAGTTGAATATGGGGAAAAACTTCTTTACTTTGAGGGTGATAGAGCACTGAACAGGCTGCCCAGGGGGGTTGTGGAGTCTCCTTCTCTGGAGATATTCAAAGCCTCCCTGGACGAAGTCCTGTGCAACCTACTCTAGGTGAACCTGCTTTAGCAGGAGGGTTGGACTAGATGATCTCCTGAGGTCCCTTCCAACCCTTGCCATTCTCTGATTCTGTGATCATTTTATGGGTGGGTTTTTTGGTTTTTTTACTGCTGTTTTATGTAGTCAGATTGTGTGAGTTGAGTAATTTCTGCTTGAATTCTTCTCAGCTATCACATCAACCTGAACATAGATGCGGCTGTGAAAGCCATTGTGGGAATTTTCAGCATGGTGACGGGTCGAACTCCACGTTTTTCTGTCTACGGAGGGAGCAACAGAGAAAACCTGGCACTCCAGAACGTTCAGGTGTGTTTCATGTAGGCTGAATCAGGTCAGACCCTTTTTTGTTTGTTTGTTTTTGAAAGAGTACAAAATGGTAAAGTAGCAAGGGAGCCCTTCATTTGCATTGCTGTGAAAACTTGAACTTGTTGTGGTGTGTCCCTGAAGATTCCCGGGCTTCCAGTAAATGCTTGTCTGCAGCAGAAATCTACAATCCCACATAACTCAGAAGAAGACAGAGATAATAACTGCTTGTGACTTAAAACCTGGTCAGGAGGAAATAGTACATGCCTGTATCCCATCAATAGCATTGGTGTTTAGAAAAGCATCCCAACAGAAAGTTGCTAGGTTGGGAAAATGAGCAGCAAAGTATTGTAATAGACAGGTCTGAGTCCGGTAGGATTGTGGCAGGTCAGGACTCAAAACTGCTGCTGATGTACATTAGACTTCCCTCTGGTGAATGCTAGCAGCCTTTGAAAGGCTCTGTGTGAGATGTCAGGCTTACCCATTCCAATTCCTAGATGTCTTCAGTTTTAGAAGGTAGAAAAGAATATTTTTTTCATCAGAAGGTATTTAATCTTCAACAGGCTTACAAAATGCTGCTTAAATACACATTTCCAGTTACGCATTTTCATTGTGTCAGAACAGGTTGGTGCTGTGCCTGGGTAGTGCTGGTGTACGTGCCGTATAGAATCACAGAAAACATAGCTGCCTAGTGGCTTCTAGCCCCCTGGCTCCAGTTGTACCTTTTGTTGTCTCAATAGCTTTCTTTCTGGCCTGTTCTTAAAATTCCAACCTAACCAGCAACTCTGTTTTAAATTCTGGCTAAATGTTGGTTCTCATGTCTGACAGTTTTTGTTAGCTGAGGGCTTCATCTTTCTTTCCCTGCTATTACTGGAGAACTTCAGCTGTCTCCTCTGGAAGCAAACCTTGAATCCTTTATCAGCTTTTTGGCAATGGGAAAGGCTTTCGTCGTGGAGGAGTGTGGTGATGTGCTTAACATCGCACGCAGTTGTGGCTAGAGCTGGAGGTTGAATCTCGGGTCTCTTTGCTATTATTACCATCCTTAGAAAAAGTGGAGTTTAGGAATAGGAACAAAAGCAAAGAGGACTTTTTACAAGCTTTATGTAGGTAAATCCCTTTTGTCTAATACTCCATAAAACGGTGTGTTAGACAGATGGTTTATCTGCATACTTCATCCCTCGTGGATCCTTATTAGTGATTGTAGGAGGTAGAAAATGGCAATTACTCCCCATTCTACAATTCAGAGTAGAGTAAACTTGCCCAACCATGTAAGTCTGTGACAGTAGCAGATACTGAGCCTGGCTTTCCTACGTATGTTTGGCATCTTTTCCACAAGACCAACCTTCTCGCATTAACATTTACCCCTCTTGCATTTTGTTCTTTATGGGTTTGTTTAGGGAATTGGTTAATAAAAATGATTGGGGAGAAATTATTTGGGTTTTGTGAAGTTGCTGTATTTTTCATTTTGCTTTGCAGGCTAGATTGAGAATGGTCCTTGCCTATCTGTTTGCTCAGCTGACACTTTGGACTCGTGGGATGCCAGGAGGACTTCTGGTGCTAGGATCAGCCAATGTGGATGAAAGGTTGGTGAAAGCTAGAAGTCTAAACCCAGGTGAACTGGGAACAGGTCACTGCATTTCCTTGCAACTCTACCATATCTCAGTGTAGATTGTCGCTCAGAAGAGGTAACAAGCTAAGAATACATTGATAGCAGTAAAATTAATGAGAATAGTTGAATTGGCCTGAATGGAAAGCTGTGGATTTTCCAGAAGTTTAAGCCAAACTGTTGTCACAGTTTTCAAATAAAATGCTATTCCTTCCTTAGCTGTTTTCATTAGAGCTTGCCTGTGCAGTTACCAGATTAACTTTCCAATCTCTTATTTGTTGTACTTGCAATTACCGTATTAGGAATTAAGTTGTGAACTTTGAGTTGAAAAATACATTTTCTGGAGTACTGTTATTAGAGGTGACTATTTGAAGATTAAAGCAATCCCTATAAGACTGTGAGATCGATAACCTCAAAAGCTGGGAGAGTAGTGTGTGCTGATTCTATGGGTGTTTTGAGGTTTTTTTTTTAATTGTTCAGGACAGTATTTTAATTGTTTTGCAACAATTATGTTACCTTAGCATGGGCACTTTTGCAGTGCTTCATAAGCGTTTAAAATATCGTCTTTCTCCTGGCAATTTCATGGCTTTAGGGTAACCCTTTTGCAGCTGAACACCCGTTTGCCCCTTACATATAAATATGTTAACAATATGCAGTCTGTTTCTCCCTGTCTTTTATATGACATATATATTCTATATAGTATAAACTATTACATATTCCACTAACGTTACATTATTCTTTACTGTTGCTATATAAAACTTCCTCTCGTGCTCAGTCTCCGAGGTTACCTGACGAAGTACGATTGCTCGAGTGCTGATATCAATCCCATCGGTGGAATCAGCAAGACTGATTTGAAGAACTTCATACAGTACTGCATTGAAAATTTTCAGCTCACGGCCCTCAGAAGGTGAGTAGTGAAGCGATGACGCTTGGTGGCTGTATGCAGCCTATTGTGGACTTCACCATTTCATTTTCTCTACTAACAGAGCTAAGCTGCAGCAGTACTGCAAATGCTAATAAAGTCTTCTGCACATCCCTCTGTTTTTAAATGGTTTTGTACGCTTACACAATGGAACTGCCTGGGTGCTGAAAATGTCACCAGTCTTAGGAGTTACTGTACGCAAGCATTTCTGTTGTTAATGCCACTGAAGGAACTGTTTGAACTAGATGCCTTATGGTTTTGATATAAAGCATTGCTTTTTAAACCTGGAACTTGCAAGTACCACTTCTTTAGAGTGCTCTAGTCATTTAGCAGGGTATGCCCTGAAAAAGTTTTGAAGGAATCATTTGATTTTTAATGAACCAGACTGTTTGTTAACTAGTACTGGTGAGACTGGATAGAATTCACGTTTTTCATTTTACCTTTTTCTCACAGCATCATGTCAGCTCCACCCACTGCGGAGTTAGAACCCCTGGTGGATGGACAAGTGGCTCAAACTGATGAGGTAATGGGCAGTGACTTTAAAATGCTCTGGTAAGCCTTATCCCAGCATTTGTTTTTTGTCCAATAACTATTGTTTGCTCTTGTATGTATCCATGCTTATTGACAAGCATGTTGTAAACAATCTTAAAGCCACTGACAAGGCATTAGGATCCCACACCAGCCTTATCTGTGTTGGCAACGGTTTTCAAAAGAGCAAATTAACTGGTTTTGAATGTTTTTATATTTTGGGCATTTAGAAGGATGGGTGTTCTGAAATTTATTTTTTTTTTAAAGTTTCTTAATGTCAAAAGAGAGTCAGTCAGGGCCTTACTGCTATTAAAATGTCTGGTGGCAAAGCCCTTCCTCCCCCTGCCCTTGCTATCCCCTTGGGTAAGGGAGGACTGGCAAGCCTCATGACTGCCTCTAAGGGCTGTTGGGTATTTAACTCTACGATATTGCAAAACTCTACATGATAAAGCAAAGGTTGCTGAATTAAATTAAGTGGTTTTCTTATTTTGGCCTTACCTTACTGATCTATACTACATTAAAGGTACCTAGAAAGAAAAATGAATACACCTTTCTCAGGAAAGAAATGTTTTCACCGGCCAAATCAAATATATTCATGGAAGAATTGAAAATCTCCAGTTTTAGAGAGATTCCAGTTTTTTTTTCTTCTGCTCATAATATTACTATCTCTTCATCTTTTTGATCATTGGCAGTTTCATTTTGGTGTTTCTTTGATGAAACTGGATTATTGTCATTGCTCCATAAAACTATTAATTACAATTTGCATACTTAAGATTTTTGGTGACTTTCTGTGTGTGTGATTTCAGGCAGATATGGGGATGACATATGCAGAGCTCTCAATCTATGGCAAATTAAGAAAAATTGCAAGGGCTGGACCATACAGTATGTTCTGTAAGCTGATTAATATGTGGAAGGAAATCTGTACTCCAAGAGAGGTAATGTAAAAATAAAAGAAATAAAATCATATAATATCTTTGCCAAAATAGAGTATGTTTGGAGAAGGGTCGAGTAGAGTTCCTTTTAACTGAAAGGGATATTTTAATTATTCTGTGTTTAGAGATTATTCTACAGCTGTAGCAGAATATGCTGGAAAAACTGTTATGCATCTCTTAAATTAATGGAGCTTGTTGTCTGTGTTGCCAGTTGTTGGAACACTAATTGGGTAATTTGAAAACAGTTATTTCAGAACTATACCTTCAGGGGAAAGTTACTCTCTGACATACACATGGCTAACTACTCTTGAAGCCTTTGGTTATATATTCTGAGGCAGAATATGGCTCTTGCTTTGAAAGACTGCCTACACGGAAGAGGTATCTGCTTTGCTGTTACGCAGTTCTTCCTTTCTCGTGCATAAAGGAAGGAGTTCAAATTGTCACCTGAATCGCAGAGGCTAGTGCTTACTGTTGGATTTCTTACAAGGCGCTTCCTTATTGGTAAATGATAGGTGCAGAGACCAAGGCGTTGTCTGAAAATGGTCTTAAATGCCTCTTAAAGGTAGGGTCATCCACAGTGATTCATACTTGTATGTAAATGTATTTCTGTAAACATTACTGGAAGAAAATGGATGTGTAATGCTAGAACACATTCTCAGCTGAGTTTTTAAATGCTAAGAAACTTCATCTGATTAAAAGCTATATTCTTTGTACACCAGGTGGCATCAAAGGTTAAGCATTTCTTCAGGATGTATTCCATTAACAGACATAAAATGACCACCCTCACTCCTTCCTACCATGCTGAAAACTACAGTCCAGATGACAACCGATTTGACCTGAGGCCTTTCCTTTATAACACCACATGGTCCTGGCAATTTAGGTGTATAGATAAACAGGTAAATGCCCTCTACTTCTTACATGGTTTTCTATTTAAAGCCCTCGCAATGGGAAAAGCTCAGTTCCAGAGTATCTCCAGCAAAAGACAACTAGCATTTAGGATGAAAATTTCATACAGAAATAAGTGTGATTGTTCTTTTCATGTAACCGTGAGGCCAAGAATTCTCTGGTTTCGGTGTAGGCCGGGTTTTTTTTGTTGTCAAGTACAGCTTGTTATATTGCTAGGAAAGCAAGAAGAAGAAGAAAAAAAGAAAGAATATATGCACTGAGACCAGAAACTAATAGCTGTACCCATACTCAGGAAGCCTTGCGCTAATGCCGAGAACAAGCTTATGTGTTTCGGTTTCAGTTCAGGACCTGTCTGAAGGGATCTGTTTAATTACGGGATTAAGACTTGACCTACATCTGCATGGGAAAAGCCAGTAAGAGGCAGCGATTCATTGTGAATGTTTCTCTCACCTGCTTTTACTACAATACCTTTTTTGATCCTCAAGTCAGTTGACTCACAAATACATGTTTGCTCAAATACAGCAACAGTAATGGTCCAGTGCTTAGTTTGAGCACTGTGTGGTATGGAGGGGCTCAAGCAACTATCGGAACCGTGCTTTACTTTTTGTAGTTTTTAGTCACACCTTTGATGTTATTTTAATGCATTTTTTTTTTATGGCACAAATGCTGGGCTGAAGAATTTTAGCACCTTGAAGTTTTTTTCTGCCAGAGATTTTACACCTCAGTTGCTTTTAAGAATATGTTTATATATGTAATAAAATATTAATTCCCTTGTCTGTGAAATGCCAGACATGCTGTAATAGTGTTTTATTACCTTGAAACCTAGGATAAAAGCTACCACATGCTGCACTTTTTTGTAGGTCTGTATGGTGGGTGTTTTCTTCCATCGTTTCGGACTTTTTCCCACTGAAAAAAAAACCTGTGTCCAGGACAAAAGTTCTTTTGGCCTCAGTGGGAGTTGGGCAAAATATTTTTGTAGGGTCTGGATCAAAACGTAATTATTTTATGCTTACAGTAACTGTCATTAAGATCTTTTAATGATCCAGGGTACTGTTACACTCTTTACCTAGATTTGTATGTGATAGCAGTTGCAACTTATTCCTGAAAACTGGGAGTCAAGTTTGGGGAAGAATCTGTTATGTAGGCAACAGTAACCTGAACTGATAAAGTTCAGCAGTAACCGGAACTGATAACTCATTGTTATGGATACCTTTTTGCAAGACTGGAAAATAATGACTTGCAATAATGTGAGTCAAATCTGCCCTGTACAAGAAAGGGAATACTGTAAGCGTTTCTACTTACTGTGCATATTCAGCACAATTGTAATTCTGAAGAGAATCGCTTAGACAACATCTCACTGATAATTAAGTTCCCCGGACTTAAGCGGTACTCAAGGTTTTTTTCTGGCATAGCAGCAGGACTGTGAAAATATGGCATAAACTCTAAATTATGTAATTTTGCCAGAAAACACCTTCAGTTATGTAATGCCAGGTTTTCCTGTGGAAGAGTCATGTTACAGCTTGAGCTCGTTTGTGAAGGGAAATGGTCTGAGTGCTAATGATAGAGAAGTCTGTTGGATTTGTGGAAAGTACTTTTCTACTTTGGATGTTTGTAGTGTAGTCAAGGCAGTTTACTTATCCACTCTTTTAAGTGCAAAATTGCCTCTGTACTTGCTGCAGAAGGAACAGGGGTAAGAGGAGGTTGAGATTGTAGCATTTGCTGGGAATTGTCAGATTTGCCCTTGGGGTCTTAATGTCACTCAGCTCTACTTAGTGGAATGACTCCACCTGGGTGATGAAATTTCCAGTGGTTTAGAGCAACCCTAGGAACTCCAGTAGCACTGTCAGTAACTTCTGCCTTTGAGTTATGTCCGAGGTAAAGGATGTGCGGTCAGAGCATGCACTTTAACCATTTCTAGATGCCAAAATGGTAACTGGGATTTTAATAGCTGGCATAATTCTAAGGAATGGTGGCATAGCTCAGAAGAAAGCTGGCACACCTACTAGATTTGGGGAACGTAAACCGGAATTTTCCAGAGTTAGAGATAATGTGCAGAACATTGTGTTTAGTCTCTTGGTCTATCCTCCACAAGTTTGTAGAATCCTTTTTGGAACTATTTATGTTGTTAGTCTTAACAACAGCTTAGCTCAGTATAAGGTAATTCCTTTTCTTCAGTTTTAAGAACAGTGAAGGTCAGTTTTATAAAATTTTGTGTGTGTGTGTCTGTTTGTGTGTGTGCATGAAAAGCATTTCCTGTGTTCATTTTAATTATTCTAGGCTCTCTGTTAAGGGCAGGGTTCCAGGTTATGGCCTGATCTGATCTGACAGCTGTCACTGAAAGGGGCAGTCTTGCCTCCCTTCCTGTCTCTCCTGGCTTCTGAGATGGCTTTGGTGCTTGTCTCATTCCTTCATCAGCCAAATGAAGTCACCAAACTGACAAAAAAAATAGGAACTGATGGGAGCATGCAGCCGGGGGGAGGTTAGGAGGGTGGGTGGGAAGAAAGTTTGACCTTCTCTTTTGACTGCAGCTAACATCCTGTTCAGCTCAATTGTCCCCTAGAGCATATCCCGCTGTCAGTTCCTGATAAATTTGCACTGTGCACTGTTTTGTGGTGGAAGTCTGAAAAGACAGGAGGCATTAAATGCAAACTTATTTTTACCATTGAATCCGTTTCCTTTTAACTTGCAGGTATCCAAGCTAGAAAAAAAGGAAGGAATTTCTCTTGTTGAAGATGTGGACTGATTTGCTGCCTTGTTTAACTGTGGTAATTAATTTGCTAAGCAGAGTGTTCAAAACTGGAGTATACTGTGATGATGAGCAGAGATGACCAAAACAGTTGTTGAGATGACCATAGTAAATGATATTTGTAATCAAGTCTTTTTTTTTGATTGACTCCCTGTTTTGTTCCCAATATACTTAAACCGTTGTTTGGCTAAGGAATCATTTATTAAGGATTTTCTTCAACGAGTTGAGTTAATTGCCTTTAATTGAAAATATTTGGATAAGCCCATCGATCATAAACAAATGCAGGGTAGTCTTTTGTGAAAGTGAATACACATACAAATATTAAGTTTGGTTCTAATAATTTGGATATATTTTTGAGTGTATGTATATATGAGATATATACATTCAGCTGAAAGTATAAAATTTTAACAGTATTGGCATGTGCTGTTGAGGGGAAAAACTCATTTTACTTTGCAATAAACTTGTAATTTTGTAATCCTAATTGACTCAGTTCTTATTTTACATGTTTCTTACTTAGGTAGCATTCACTATGTAGACTGGTCCAGTGTGGCCACATAAGGTCTAATTCACAAGGTACTGGAAGCATGTCTAATTTGAAACAGATGGGTAATCTTGTTTAGTGGGATCCAAATTAGAGTTCAGTTTCTTGTTTTGCATCTACTTGCTGTGTAACTTGTGACAATTATCTATGACTTAATTTTCTCAGAGGGGAGTAATACCTACTTCATCAAGACGTTCAGGGATTGTTTAATTGTTACTGCTCTCCAAGATCCTCATCTGTATTTTAAGGATTCTGAATAAAGTTAGTTGGCATGGTGTCTTTTCCCTCCTGGCATTTTTCATGCATAAGGGTAACTTGGTGTACCTGAAATAAGAAATGTCTTCTGGTGCATGGTGTCTTGAATAGAGAGGACACAAGTTTGGTATCTGTGCCACTGCTGTTATTCCTGTACGCTCTGGTGCTGCCTGTCCAGGAGCTGCGGTCTGTTATCACTGTCCGTGCCGTGGTTGGACTTGCCCACACAACCCCTTTACTGTTGGAATCAAGCTCGCTGGGTGTAAAACATCTGGAAATGGAGTGAATATTGCAGAAGGAAGTATAAAGCCAGCTTCCTTTGAGCTCGATTGGTGCATTAACCACCTTCCACCTACTGTTTGCAAAAAGTTATTTTAACTTCACTAATCTTTTAAATGTGTCCAGTGCTGTGGAACAATAAAAAAAGTACAAGCATAGGCTTGTTCCTTCGCTTGAGTCCCTTTTCTGCTAGTTCATTTAATGTTTGGCCATTTCCATTGCTCCTTTTTTTTTTGTGTGTGTTTGATTTGAAAGGTATGCTTTTAATAGGGGAAACTAGAAATGCATTTCTAAAGTTCTGGGTGAACGATGCTGTAACTGCAGCAGCAGGGGAGCTTAGACCAAATGAGACTTTTGTTAAGATGATTGTACCTTGTGCTAATGGAAAATGTCTGCTAAAGGGCATGTTTTCCACAACCCAGAAAGACAAGTTGATTCATTTGGAGTTAAAGATGCTGCATTGTTCTTGGTGGGTTTATTGTATGGTATTTGTTTAAATACATTTAAATAAGCTTACCTTAGTGAATGTCACTGGTATTTATGTTCGGCTGACGGAAAACCGCAGCTGAGATTTGCCTTCCTTCACCATCAGTTGGGTGCTTTCACTTCCCATTCCATCCAGAGGGAGTGAACTGAATTTTGAACAGAATTTTAGGAATCCTTTGTATATTTGAGGGCTTCTTCCATTTTTTTTTTCTTCCTGAAGTTACTGATTCTTTTTCCTAACAATCACAGAAGAGGAAAGAAGGAAAGATTTGCTTTAGTTCAAATAAAAGATAACAGCAAAAATAACAGAATGTTTACATGTGCTACCTGTTACTGTGGTTACCCTGAATATTTCAGGCATTTAGCAAAAGGACACTTGTGTTTTTTAGCAATGGCACTTAACTGCATGTGGGCAAATTGCATTTTATTTCTTACTTGCTAGTGCTGAGCACAGATTGTACTAGCACACCCCTACTTTCTTTTTACTGCCCTGAAATTTTCACCTCTTCCGTCTGATGGCTCTAGTTCAACTGTTATTAACAATAACTCCAATTTTACCAGTACTTTGCTGTCTATTGAGAATGGGAAATAACTGTAACGTGTAGCTACTGATGTTCACTTTTTACTAGTGATGACTATTACAGTAAAGGTAATGTCACAGAATTTTCCTTTTTATCTTTTCACCAAAAAGGCTGGATCTGACCCTGACTTATTTAGAAGTCAGTGTGAAACAGTGATTTTTGACCCATCAGTCATGCAGCTGAAGGCAAAAGCTAGCTCATTGCTAATTAAGCAGTATAGGATGGACCTATTTTTACCACTTAGGCGGGAATACTGAAGAGATGGATTGATACACCCTCCTGTTTATTGTTAATGCTGCCATAGCTCCCGGTATGTGGGAGAAAATAGTGTGTAGTTGTCAAATTATCCTGACACCTACCCTTTTGAAACTGCAGCTTTACGAAATGCAACAGTGAAAGCCTGTAGGAAGAGGACCCTGAGGAAAGGGTCGTCAAAAAGCATCTTTTAACAGTCAAAGTAACATAAGCTTAGTTTGTAGTTGCTTCTGGAACGCCTAGGTGACTAAATACAAATCAAATACCTTCTGCTAAGGCTGTAAAGGATTATTTAAGAATGTGAATACAAGCAGGAAGCAGTATTTTATAACCTCGCTATTAATTTCTCAATAAATCCAGAACCCAACCCTCGCGCGGCCGTAGTGTTGTTCCCCAGCTCCCCCCGAGGCAGTGACGAGTTTAGGGGTACGCTCAGCCGAGGATACCGAGCTTACAGCTTCCGTGAGGTAAAAAAGCTGCAACTCCTCGTGAGGGATACTTTTTTTAAAGCGGAAACGACGCCTGCGATCTGCTCTCTGAGTTCAGGTGAAGAAGCGACACTTTTTACCAGAGGCTTACTGTCACCTCTTTCATCAACCCCCGGCTGCGTACAGATACTAGCTCCTGAGGCGGCGGATGTTGCCGGGGCGGGAGAGGGGTCCCCGTTTGCTGCCAGAGGGA